AGCTCCTCTCACCGAGTCACATTAGACTACACTGTAACTTTCATCTCTTGCATGAGTTACAATGTTCCAATCACAATAGCTACTAAGGAGGTGAAAGGTCTTTATGACGAAAATTATAAAACATGAAAGAAAGAAACAGAAGATGATACAAAATTTGAAAATATTCCATGTTCATGGATTAGAAGAATTAATATCACCAAAATGCCCATGCTACCAAAAGTAATTTACAGATTCAATATGATACCAATCAAAATTCCAATGACATTTTTCTCAGATCTAGAAAAAAAATACTAAAATTCATATGGAAACAGAAGAGTCCCTGAGTAGCTAAAGAAATCTTAAACAGCACAAACCTTCACTGGAGGCATTACATTACCAGATTTCAAGACAAACTGCAGGGAAGTTGTAATCAAAACAGCCTGATACTGGCACAAAATTAGCTATGTAGACCAATGGGACAGAATAGAAACCTCAGAAATCAATCTATGTATCTACAACCAACTAATCATTGGAAAGGAGCTAAAATGTATATTTACTAAATAAAAAAATACTTGATTTCAAGACATATTATAGGGCAGTTATAATCAAAACAGTTTTTTTGTCATTGCTACTGATTTTTGCTGCAATAACCCTCTTGTTTCAGTTACAGCAAGAAACAGTTCAGTTCACAATTGATCATAATGAAAGGACTAAGAGTCAAAGGGAGCACATAAACAAGTCTAGTACCTGCTAATACTAACCGATAGAATAAATAAAGGGGAGAGTGATCCAACATGGGAAGTGAGATACTCAGCAGACTCATAGAATGGCGGATGTCCTAAGCAGCACTCTGGCCTCAGAATCAGCCCTAAAGGCATTCGGATCTGGCTGAAAAGCCTATGAGAGTATTTCGGGCAGGGAAACCCAAGCCCTTTGGGCAAAAAAAAAAAAAAAAAAAAAAAAAAAAAAAAAAAAAAAAAAAAAAAAAAAAAAAAAAAACCCACAAACAAAACCCTAAATGAAAGATCTCTGTGAGTGAGATCCCAGTGGAAAGAACAGGTCTTCAAAGAAGGAGGTACTTTTCTCTGAAGGGAGGAGAGAACTTCCACTTAGACCATGACCTTGTCTAAGAAAAGATCAGAGTCAGTGAACTCAAGAGAATTCCATAGCCTTGGAAACTCATGACTGGAGCATAGGGAGATCACTGATGCCATAAACAGGAGTGTCAATTTGTAAAGTCAACAACAGGAGTCAGTGTGCACTTACTCCTCATGTAGGATCTCTGTGCTTAATGTGCTGTACATTGAGGCTTAATGCTATAACGAGTACTCAAACAGTATATTTCACTTTGTGTTTCTATGTGGGTGCAAACTGTTGAAATCTTTACTTAATGCATACTAAACTGATTTTCTGTAAAAAAAAAAAAAAGAAAGAAAGAAATTATCAATTCCCAACTTGACTCTCACTGGGATTAAACATGACAATAGGTCTGATCTGATTTCATCATCATTTAAAAAATCATCTATTATTTTTCACTTTATGTTTCTGTGTGGGAGCAAACTGTTGAAATCCTTACTTAATGTATGCTAAACTGATCTTCTGTATACTAAGAGAATCGAAAATGAATCTTGATGTGAATGGAAGGGGAGAGGGAGTGGGAAAGGGGAGGGTTGCGGGTGGGAGGGACGTTATGGGGGGAAGCCATTGTAATCCATAAGCCGTACTTTGGAAATTTATATTCATTAAATAAAAGTTAAAAAAAAAAGAAACAAAACCCAAACAGAAAAAACCCTCTGAAAGAGTAGAAAATGAAAGGTTTGACCCAAAAAATGAGGGAAGGGGGGAGCAGAGAGGAAAGGGAGGAAGGGGTCTCGGTTTTGTTTTTAAATAGGACTGAAGATTAACATTGAGAAATCAGGAGATGATGTCCAATCCTTCTCACAAGGCAAAGCCCTCTGGTATTTCCGCCTCTGTGGTTTTTGCTTTAAATTCCTTTTTCTCTTCTGGGTGCTGATACTTCTCTCCATCTCCACGTTTGTGGTGTTTTATTGTGCTTTGTGGTTTTTGCTGTTTGTTTGTTTAACTGTGTCACTACCTCAGTTTGCCCCCATGTCCCTTACACACAAGCAGAGTATTCCTTCAGCGGAGCGAAGAGGTGGCGGATCACGGGCACGCTCCACGACCGGCCCAGCAGCCTTTGTCTCGCCAAGCGGCTCACGTTGGAGACGTCGGTATAGTGCACAGGAAAGCCAAACACTCTTTCCATCTCAGTGCACCACAGGATGTCCTCCTTCTCGTTCATGAAGACGGGGAAGTGCTGGTCTTTGCCCTGCTTTATGGAGTTTGACCTGGTAGTGATGGTCCTCACTTTGCTGAACTTGGCTATCCTGCCATGCTCCAGACACTCCTGCAGCTCCAGCTTATCATTCACAGTGGATGCCAACAGCCCGTTCATATCGGGAGGGCTCTGTGTGCGGCCGACACTTCTTTGGCATCAATCATGACGGGGTTGGACTCAAGAAATCGCGAGATGTCCCTCTTGTCACTAACGCCCTTGGCCACCACATTCTCAAAGAGCCAGAAGAAGGGGCGATCATCTCCCTCCTTGGGCTGTGCGTCATGCAGGAGGTGGTAGAACTCAAAGAAGAGCCGGCCAGTGCCCTCATACAGCCCCTTGCGGGCAGGGTTGACAATGGAGAGGTCGTTGCAGGGGCTGCCCCCGATCACAAGGTCAAATGGGCCCCTTTCCTGGATGTGCTTCTGTGTGACGCTGCGGACGTCCCCCACGTACATGATCTTCCCCTGGTGCCGCACCATGCCCACCGTGATGGAGTCCTCGCACACCTCCGAGGCGATGTAGCGGTCCACCTGGATGCCCAAGTCCTTCAGCACCAGGAGCCCTGTAGCAATTCCATCAAAGAGAGACAGCACCCAGATGGGCTTCCTCTTTTCAGCTGGGACAGGCGGGTAAACCTTCGGAGGGTCAAATTCCTGGTCGTGGTTATTGGCAAAGAACATCTGGAGCTGAGAGGGCCAGTCGTCCCGACGCCGCAGCAGCCCGTAGGTGCCCTTGTGGCCGCACATGTAGCATTTCCAGGGGTCTTCCTTAATGGCTGCCTGCGCAGCCCCCGGCCCCACCAAGAGGGCCACACAGTCCACACAGAAGCACCTGCAGCAGTTGTTGTTCCCACACATGAGCACCTCGTGTCCCCCACAGCAGATGGTGCAGTAGGACTGATAGCCATCGTCGTCATACTGGTAGGCGCGTTCCAGGAAACAGTTCTTGCAATTTTGGCACATTCCTCCAATGAAGAGGGGGTGTTCCAGGGTGACATTGAGGCTCCCACAAGAGATGCAGATGTCCTCGATGTTCCGGCACTTTTGCCGCACCTCATACCCCAGCCGCTCTCGTGTGCACTCATCAATGATCTCCTTGACCTTGGGCTTTCCCGTCGTGCTCTTCCGCGGTTTTCACAAGAGTAGATATGTCCACCAATGGAAGAGACTAGAGACCCCAGAAGTTAATTCATGGGCCTACAACCAACTAACCTTTGACAAACTAGCTATAATCACTCTTTGGAGAAAGGACAGTTTCTTCAACTAATAGTGATGGGAAAATTGAATGGCTGGATGCAGAAGTATGAGACAAGACCCCTACCTTACACCCTATACAATAACCAAATCACAATGGATCTGGGCTCTAAATCTAAGACCTGAAACATCTACATTACTACAGAAAAACAAAGTGGGAAACACTGAAAGCCATTGGCACAGGCAAAGACTTCTTGGAAAAGACCCCAGAAGCACAAGAAATAAAGGCAAAAATAAACAAATGGGATTACATCAAGCTAAGTAGTTTCTGAACAAAAAGGAAATCCTCAAGAAAGTAAAGAGACAACTAGCAGGATAGAAGAAATTATTTACAAACTATTCATATGACAAAGGATAAAAATCAGAATATATAATGATTTCAAGAAACTCAACAATGAAACAACAATACAGTTAAGATATAGGCTAAGGATATGAATGGGCATTTTTCAAAGGATGAAATACAAATGGCTAACAGATACCTTAAAAGGATCACTAGCCACTGGGAAAATGCTAATAAAAACTAAAATGATATTTCACCTCACAAAAATTATAATTACTGTCATGAAAAAGTCAAAAAATAATAAATGTTGGTGAGGATATTGGGGGTAAAGTTACCCTAATACACTGTTGGTAGCAACGTAAACCAGTACAACCATTATGGTAGACAGTATGGAGATAGTATGGAGATTCCTCAGAAATCTGAAAACAGATCAACTATATGACTAGATGTATAAATTCCTGGGAATTTCCACAAAGGAAATAAAACCAGCATCTTAGTGAGTTATCTGTACCCTAATGTTGATAGCAGCTCAATTCACAATTGCTAAGATATAGAATCAACCCAGATGCCCATCAACTGATGACTGGATAAAGAAATTGTATATATACATGATAGAATACTTGTCAGCCATAGAATATAATGAAATCCTGTCTTTCAGAACAAAATGGATGCAACTGGAGATCACTATGCTTAGCGAAATAAGCTAGTCCCAAAAAGATGAGTATTGTGTGCTTTCCCTGATTTGTGGTAACTAATATACAGAGTAAAGAAAATGTAATGTATATGAGCAAAATTGATATTTTCATATTTGATTGATGTTTATAGATTGTCTATACTTTTGAGGAACAGTGGTTTTTCTACTTACTACCTATTGATTTTTTTTTCTTAGTGGAGGGTTAAGCTTGTGTTTATAAAGAAAAATTAAAGTATGTCATTGCAAAAAAAATAAAAATAAGAAAATAGGGCGGAAGGGTAGAAGAGAAGGAGGGAGGGAGGGTAGAAGAGAAGGAGGGAGGGAAGATAGGGTGGGAACTATCATTGTACTCTTAAAACCATATATATGATATGCATGAAATCCATTCTCTTTTTAACATTTATTTATTTATTTGAAAGGCAGAGTTACAGAGACAGAGAGGGAAACACACACACACACATACACACACACAGAGTGGGAGGGAGAGAGGGAGAGAGAGATAACTTCCATCCACTGGTTCACTCTCCAAATGGCTACAATGACTGGAGCCAGGCCAATCTGAAGCCAGGAGCTTCCCCTGGGTCTCCCATATGGGTGCAGGGGCCCAAGCATTTGGGTCTTCCGCTCTTGGCTTCCCAGCGACATTAGCAGGGAGCTGGATAGGAAGTGGAGCAGCTGGGACCAGCATTATAGGTGGCAGTTCACAATTATGCCACAACACTGGCTCCATTTGTTCTCTTTTTATAAATAAAAATTAAAACTATTTATTGAACAAATATATATTAAATCTTGCATTCATTATATTGCATTTGAAAAACATAAACATTCTTGCTTTTCATAGCATAGAGTTAGCTAAGTTACATTAAGAAAAAGTAGAAATACTATAAGAAAGGATAATAGGGGGAGCATTTTAGAATGGAGAACAATGGAAGTTCCTTTTGAGATAATGGCATTTAATCTACATATCTACATTCTGGTTGATGAGTAGAATTAAGTGGGATGGGAAGAGGAACACTGGGCTCCAGTTACAAGGAACAGTATGGCTCCTCCTGTCCTGAAGATGGAGAGAACTGGGAGCATTCCAGAGATAGAGAAAAGTCCAGTACATCTAGGGGGAGTGAATGAGGGAAAGAGCACTGGGAGATGATGTTGAGGAGAAAAGTAGGACTGGACTATGTAGGGGTAAATAGGCCATATTAAAGATGTGAAACTTTATCCTATAGCAATGAGAGAACTTTAATTGATTTCCAGCAGGGCTGATTGAGTAATTTGGATTTTGTGAAAGCACTCTGACTTTAGTGAGGAGAACAGATTTTGGAGACAAGGTAAGAGGAAAGAGGGTCAGTTAGGAGGTTCCTGCATCACTGGAGCTAAGTGCTGATGACGGCTGGTACTAGGGAAGTAGCAACAGAGATAATGATATGTGGGCTTATTTGAGAAGCAGTGGATATCTGTATCGCCTTCTTGGACACAGCAATGTTGTTCTGAAATGTGAAACTCCTGTGTGTCTCTTCCCTCTTTCCACCTTCCCTCACTGAAGGCAGGATTGTGATTATATCTTTTACCTCCCATGGTGACTTGAACATACTAACCACATTATAAAGATTTGTGGGTTGATTAAAAATGCAATAAAGGAACCAACTTAATTTCTATTACAACTATCTTAATTCTTTTAGACCTAAGCCAAATTTATTTTAAAATCATATACTCTTCACCTTATCATATCCCTTTCCCATCTTCACTTGTGCTTTCTCTCCCTAGCATTTAGAAAGCATGGTTTTGAAGACTAGGAAGTTAAACAGGATAGTAGTAGCTAGAGATGTCAATAATTAGTCTGACATTCTATATATTGCAAATATATATTTATTTAAGCTGTCTAGGAAGAAAAGAAAGTCTCCTTTTTCCAGAATTCTCTTTTAAAGGTCCAAAGAGAATAGCACTTCAAAAGGAGAGCACAGACCACTGCCCATTTTTTCCACTTGTATCCTGTGGAAACAGAAGGCATGAATTATGCCCCTGAAGTTGCTCAGGCAGAGATATTTGCTAGGACAGAGTTTTATAGGATGGGCAACATCCATTTGGCACAACATGAGAATCACCCAAATATCCTATGCTCCCAAAGATTTCTTTCTCAGCCTGCCAGACTGCCCGCCTCATGAAGCCCTCTATTTTACCCTATTCCTTTGGGCTGGGGCCCTGAGCATGTTATCACAACACACACACTCTCCAGCATTCCAAGGTTTGCTGCAATGTGACCTGGTAAAACTCACTTTGGGCTGGTGCCTTGGCTCAATAGGCTAATCCTCCGCCTTGCGGCACCGGCACATCGGGTTCTAGTCCCGGTCGGGGCGCCAGATTCTGTCCTGGTTGCCCCTCTTCCAGGCCAGCTCTCTGCTGTGGCCAGGGAGTGCAGTGGAGGATGGCCCAAGTACTTGGGCCCTGCACCCCATGGGAGACCAGGATAAGTACCCGGCTCCTGCTATCAGATCAGCACCGTGCGCCGGCCACAGCAGCCATTGGAGGGTGTACCAACGGCAAAGGAAGACCTTTCTCTCTCTCTCTCTCTCTCTCTCTCTCTCTCACTGTCCACTCTGCCTGTCAAAAATAAAAAAAAAAACTCACTTTGACTTCTTGTTTGATTTATTCATCTCTACAAAAAGAGGATCATGCTAGATGTGAAAGGAAGAGAGTTTGTGTATGAGTGTGTTCCCATTTACTGGTTCATTCCTCAGATGCCCACAACTGCCAGGGACAGGACAGGCTGACGTAGGAAATAGGAACTCAATCCATGTCTCCCATATGGGTGGCAAGAATTCAACTTCTGGAGCTGTCACTTGCCACATCTCAGTGTACACATTAGCAGTAGGATAGCATTAGGAAATGCGATGTCCCAAGCAGCATTTTAACTGTCAAGCCAAAACATCCACAACTAAAGCCCCTTTCAATGCTCATCTTTTTTTTTTTTTTTTTTGACAGGCAGAGTGGACAGTGAGAGAGAGACAGAGAGAAAGGTCTTCCTTTGCCGGTGGTTCAACCTCCAATGGCCGCTGCAGCCAGCGCATGGTGCTGATCCGATAGCAGGAGCCAGGTACTTATCCTGGTCTCCCATGGGGTGCAGGGCCCAAGCACTTGGGCCATCCTCCACTGTACTCCCTGGCCACAGCAGAGAGCTGGCCTGGAAGAGGGGCAACCGGGACAGAATCCAGTGCCCCAACGGGGACTAGAACCCAGTGTGCTGGTGCTGCAAGGCGGAGGATTAGCCTAGTGAGCCGGGGCGCCGGCCCTCAATGCTCATCTTTTATGATCATATTTTATTAATGTCCTACCATGTATTAGTGTAAGGAAGTGGCCAGGTATCCAGAGCATTAAGAATTGCATGGAATACATCTGACTTCCTGCCTCACTGTCTACTGCTAGCATAGACATATGGTAGCAAAAAGAGTGAATAACTCTTATTCCAGTGCCCTAAATTGAAATTAATGAATAAATAAAACCCAGAAGGGCAACTGGACTGTGCTATCCTCACAGCAGGCTAAGGTCTGGGTGGTCATGGCTTTTCTGATTCTTCTGTTAATCTCTGGTTCCAAACACATCCCTGCACACCATAAGAACACCACCTGCCTGGGTGGGTGAGGACCAGTCCCAGTTGGGCTTTAAATGTGACTTCCTTAAGGAGGCTCAGTGAAGGATGACAAAGGAGAGTGTAGAGGCTGAGATTGTCATTCTTGGTTTCTCAAAGATAGCTCCTGACCTTAGTCCAATGCTAGAAATAATGCACGTGGTGTGGTATGCTGATTGAAGCTTGAGAGAAACATAGCCTTTTCAGTGGAAGTTGTCAAAAAATAAAAAAGAAGACTCCAAAGAAGAAAACAGAATTTTCTGTTTTTCTTCATGTAAGTGTCTGGC